GTATAGTTGCAATTTTGAAATTAACAAGTTTCCCTGATTTCATGAAATTAAATTCTGTTTAGTTGTATAGACGCAGAGTACCTCAGTATATCCCATATGCTTGAGAATGTATTAAGGGCAATATTCCCATATGACTCTGATCGCTTAAAGCCAATATAATGCTGAAAACATTGCGAACATAAACTTTTCAATTATGTATAAATTTTTATTGTTGTAATGGATAGAAACTTTCCTTTAATGACGAATATCTGAATACTTTTACAGTCTATTTTTGGATTTAATTTGCCCTTGGGTTGGGTTGGGTTGGGTTGGGTTGGGTAGAATACTATGAAATGTAATCTCGAGTCACTCAAGTCAAAGGCAATGAAGTTTAATTAAAAGTGTCTCGTTATTGTTCTTAGATAATTTTTCTGATGATAATCTTGGGTGAAGAGGAGACTGAGTAGTGAGTACTCCCGAAAAACTTGTTTCTGTGAATTGCTCGACGCAAATGTATCTTGACACTGATCCCGACTTGGGTTAGGTTATTTGCATTATAATAATTCTATAAAACTCGAATGCTTATGAAGTGATCCCCATCTAAACTTATCGGACAAGAGTTTGTCATATAACAACAAATGAAAGATTAAAACTGGGCAAGTAGGTGGTAGTCTACTTGGTGTCACCTGCATCTGATGTTGTCTTAGTTCAAGTGAGGAGCATCGATACGGGGATTTGTTAGTTAAACGTTCCTATAAAAAAAAATCACCGGTGCCATCAACAAAAATGAAGTCATCAGAATATTTCCAGCAGTTTACTCACAGGAATCTTACATTGTTTTCCGTAATCATGTATCCCTCCACATTCTGTCAACTGACGAGCTATAGATCTACTCAGTAACGCTACCACCATATCATCTCCATAGGCCTAAGAAGGCATGTGGTTGGGCTCAGGATTTTCCCCTTGATATTTCTTACTTTAGAACCTGTGCGTAAGAAACTCGGTTACACCTTGTGGCTCTCAGTCACAAATATTTCCCTCATGACTTACAACATTCAATCTCTTTCTGCTCTTTTTATTCATTAAGCCAATAAGGTTTACATTATAGTTTGGTTCATTACCAAACTACAGCTGAGGGAATGAGGTAATAATAATCTACCTTTTAGAAATTTCAGCCAGGATGCGGCGTGTGTTGTATAAAAAATCTCTTGAATGTGTTTTAAATGTCATTTTCGTCCTGGTGTATAATAGTTTGTCATCTATTCCTTACTTGTTTCAACTTTGTAATCACGAAGAAAGAGACACAATTATGTAATGACCACAAATAAGTTTGTTTCAATATTTTGTTTCTTAGAGAAAATACAGCCAAAACAAGGAAATAATTAATGTTATCTGTAACTTGGCGTCGTGGCAGATGGTGGAGGACAACATGTAGTATAAGTCGTCAAGAACATAAGGTGATTATAGAAAACTATTTATTTTTAAGTATTTTAATTTAACAACATAAGAGAACATACAAACTATTAACATTCAACAGATAATTAAGAAAATAAAGAACACTGAGGCTGGTAATATGGAGGAACAGTAACATCAACTATCTAAGAGGAACAAGAAGGAAAATCAGGAATAATGTAGACATTACTACACAAATCACAGGTTGATATCATTTCGAAAATTATATCCTTTAATGGATAATTATCGAGTTCAAGTCTAGTTTCGCTATATTACATGGAATGGCGACAGAGGTGTGACCTCCTGAGTGTTGGGCACATAAGCTCTACTGTCTTCATCGACTTAATCGTAGGAAGGGGAATACTTGGGCGTATGGTCGTACTTGCCATACTCATGAGAGTCGTAATGAGCCTCACCCTCGTACTTGACATCAGCCACATAGCCTGAGTAACCGTCCACGTAATAATTCACAGTCTGGAGACGACCGTCGGGAAGCTGCACGTAGTACGACCCCTTGGTGTTGTCACCATCACGGCTTTCCTGGTGACCGAAGTCGTTATAATAATCGTCTTTTACTTTATACTTGAACTCATACTTGGGGTGTCCATGCTCGTAAGAGTGCTGTAAATAAAAGTAAATCATATCTTTTAATATTATAATATATTCAATGAATAAATTTTACTTGATTCACTGAGAAGGTTATCTTTTTATTAATATTAATGACTCAAAATAATAACTCTGAAGTAATTATGTTATGCCACATACATTATGACACTAAGGATCTCACAAGGGGAAAAGATGAAGTACAGAAACAGGAGAACACTAGATATTTCGACCGTAACCTACCGTCGCCCTCTACAATATACAGTATATCGACATATACAAGGCTCTCGTGTTTCTGTATTTCCTCTACATTTACTGTGGTATTTCAATGATAAAATACAACGTATATTCTCACGTACATGATTATGATGATAGTCGCCATGGTTGTCATGATCGTCATGGTTGTCATGGTCGTCATGGTATATAGGAGGCGAGTCTGCGGCAGCCACAGCCACCATAGCCAGCAAGAGAAGTACCTGTAAAACAAGTGAATAATTAAAGTTTTCCAAAACACTAGAAAGAGAAACACTAACCCATTTTTCACGTTGGGTGGTCGCCTTCAGATGGGTTCAAATAACATATAACGAAACGGAGAATTATTGTAAGTCTCGCTATGATTGATTCCTCGTTTTATTTAATCAACAAAATATTTATGTCTGTGAGATGAAAAGATATGAAATATTGACTATATGTTCTCTTGTCGCCATGATAAAATCAATAATATTTTTGTAATGGCAATATCTGGCAAAGAATAAAGCTGCTACCAGAGCTGCCTACCTTAATGTTCATGGTGAAGTAACGTTGACAACTGATGCCCATCACCAGGTTGGTGCTTCTATTTATACCTGGATTTACACATCGATGCAGGACACGTTTCTCCAGTGACCTTCGCTTATGTGACAAATGTTACAAAGAGCCGGTTCGCTGCTTCATTACTTCATCAAGTTTTTACTTCAGTAAAAAAATGTGGGAACTGATGCGAAAACCAACCAAGCAAATTAGCGAATACCCAAACACGGCTGAAATTATCTCAATAATCAGAAAAACAATATTTACAACATTGTCCTGCAGCACTAACTCACACATGCACGCTGGCGCACACAGAGTATGATACATATCTGATTTACTTAGACTAACATATGAGAAAGTTGTGGTTATGATAGATCGGAAAGAGAGAGAGATTACATGCGTATATTCCTGAGGAAGTTTTAAGAAAAGCTACAGCTTTAGCCCAGCACACACTAAGTACTCATGGTTGTATCTCCGTAGCAGGAAAGGGGACCAGGTAAGCCTACGCTCTCACATACGTTTACATATAAGAAGAACTTTGTCTAAATGAACTAAGACAATGAAGACTGATTTATGGACAGATTAAATAAGAAAACTTTCCCGTTTTGTTGTTCATTTCTTTTTGTGTTTTCTTACTTTTTGCAGAAGTAAATATCAATCTCGCTACATGTCAAGTATAGTTGAAATTTTGACATAAACAAGTTCCCAGATTTTTTTTTAATTAATTTCTGTACAGTTGTAAAGACGTAGAGTACCTCAGTATATCACACATGTTTGAGAATGTATTAACGGCAATATTCCCATATGACTCTGATCGCTTAAAGCCAATATAATGCTGAAGAACAATGCGAACATAAACTTTTCTATTGTGTATAATTTTTCTTGTTCTAATGGAAAGAAACTTTTCTTTAATGACGAATGTCTGAATACATCTACAATTTAAATTTGGATTTAATTTGCTCTCGGGTTGGATTGGGTTGGGTTGGGTAGAATACTATGATAAGTAATCTAGACTAAGTCAAGTCAAAGGCAATGAGGTTTAATTATAAGTGTCTCGTTATTGTTGATAATCTTGGGTGAAGAGGAGACAGAGTACTCCCGAAAAACTGGTTCTGTGAATTGCTCGACGCAAATGTGTCTTTACACTGATCCCGACTTGGGTTAGGTTATTTTAATTATAATATTTCTATAAGACTTGAATGCTTATGGAGTGATCCTCATGTATGCTTCTCGGACAAGAGTTTGCCATATAACAACAAATTAAATATTGAAACTGGCCAAGTGGGCGGCGGTCAACTTGCATCTGGTGCTGTCGTGGTTCAAAGGAGGAGCATCGATACGGGGATATGTTAGTTATATGTACCTATACAAAATTCACCGACGCCAACAACAACAATGAAGTCATCAGTAGATTTCCAGCAGTTTACTCACAGGAATCTTACATTGTTTTTCCATAATCATGTATCCCTCCACATTCTGTCAACTGACGAGCTATATAGATCTACTCAGTAACGCTACCACCATATCATCTCCATAGGCCTAAAAAGGCATGTGGTTGGGCTCAGGATTTTCCCTTTGATATTTCTTACTTTAGAACCTGTGGCTCTCTGTCACAAATATTTCCCTTATGACTTACAACATTCATTAGTTTACATGTTCCTGCTTCTAATATTTTCAGTCCCTGGGAAGGTGACGCCACGGTGAATGCATTTAACAACAAGAAAAGTTTAATCTCTTTCTGCTCTTTTTATTCATTAAGCCAATAAAGTTTACATTATAGTTTGGTTCATTACCAAACTCCCGCTAAGAGAACGAGGTAATAATAATCTACCTTTTAGAAAGTTCAGTCAGGAAGCGCGGCGTGTGTTGTATAAAAAATCTATTGAATGTGTTTTAAATGTCATTTTCACACCTGTTGTATAATTGTAACTGGCAATGATGTATTATTGAAGAGTTTGTCATCTATTCCTTATTTGTTTGAACTACGTCATCAGAAAGAAAGAGGCATAATTATGTAATGACCACAAATAAGTTTGTTTCAATATGTTGTGTCTCAGAGAAAATACAGCCAAAACAAGTAAATAATTAATGTTATCTGTAACTTGGCGTCGTGGCAGATGGTGGAGGACAACATGTAGTATAAGTCGTCAAGAACATAAGGTGATTATAGAAAACTATTTATTTTTAATTATTTTAATTTAACAACATAACAGAACATACAAACTATTTACATTCAACAAATAAGTAAGAAAATAATGAACACAGAGGCTGGTAACAGAGGAGCAGTAACCTAAACTAACTAAGAGGAAGAAGAAGGAAAATCAGGAATAATGTAGACATTACAACACGAATCACAGGTCGATATTATTTCGAAAATTATAACCATTAATTGATAACTATTGAGCTCAGGGTCTAGCGTCGCTACATTACATGGGATGGCGATAGCGGTGTGACCTCCTGGGTGTTGGGCACAAAAGCTCTACTGTCTTCATCGACTTACTCGTAGGAAGGGGAATACTTGGGCGTATGGTCGTACTTGCCATACTCATGAGAGTCGTAATGAGCTTCACCCTCGTACTTGACATCAGCCACATAGCCTGAGTAACCGTCCACGTAATAAGTCACAGTCTGGAGACGACCGTCGGGAAGCTGCACGTAGTACGACCCCTGGGTTTTGTCACCATCACGGCTTTCCTGGTGCCCGAAGTCGTTATAATAATCGTCTTTTACTTTATACTTGAACTCATACTTAGGGTGTCCATGCTCGTAAGAGTGCTGTAAATAAAAGTAAATCATATCTTTTAATATTATAATATATTCAATGAATAAATTTTACTTGAGTCACTGAGAAGGATATCCTTTTATTAATATTAATGACTCAATATAATAAATCTGAAGTAATTATGTTATGCCACATACATTATGACACTAAGGATCTCACAAAGGGAAAAGATGAAGTACAGAAACAGGAGAACACTGGATATTTCGACCGTAACCTACCGTCGCCCTCTACAGTATACAGTATATCGACATATACAAGGCTCTCGTGTTTCTGTATTTCCTCTACATTTAGTGTGGTATTTCAATGATAAAATACAACGTATATTCTCACGTACATGATTATCATGATAGTCGCCATGGTTGTCATGATCGTCATGGTTGTCATGGTCGTCATGGTATATAGGACGTTTGTCTGCGGCAGCCACAGCCACCATAGCCAGCAGGAGAATTATCTGTAAAACACGTAACTTGTTATTCAAGTAGCGCTACCTTTTTCATAAACAGGAGAAATTTAAGCTATATGTCACTTTAGCTTCACTGGTCGATTTGGACATTAAGCATTGAGCAAATAAATAAATTGGGTTAACTCTCGCCTGCGATAGTGTCTCTGCTTTGTTATATATTGCAACATTTCAAATATACTTCTGGTGTTAAAGGCAAATATATCTTGATAGTATGCTCCTTTTGCCTTAATTAAGTGATATATTTGACTATAGTTACACGAATAAAGTATTTAACAATATCAGTGGGAAGATAAAGCTGCTACCAGAGCTGCCTACCTTAGTGTTCATGGTGCAGTAGTGTTAACAACTGATGCCCATCACCAGGTTGGTGCCTCTATTTATACCTGGACGTGCACAACGATGCAGGACACGTTTCTCCAATGATCTGCAATTATTTGAGGAAGGTTGCAAAGAACCGGCTTGTTGACTCTTAACTTCATCAGTTTTTTAGTTCTGGTAATGATTGGTTGGTGGGGATGTAAGAGTGTGGGATCTCGTTTAGCGGAAGGGCAAGCATTATGTTCTTATTATTTTCAATTATCATAGCCTTCTTAACGCTTACTCTTGGAAGAGATTTTAATGCCTTTCTACTAATTTACAAAAAGATTTTATTGTGATGAGGCGATAATTAAGAAGTTATTTCAGTGAACGATTCTATCGCTCACCGAACACAATGATAACCAGTGAGAAGCAGACTGGTGAGCGCGGCCCCGTGATACGCAGTGGCAAAGTAGGGAGAGAAAGACAAGGCACTATACCCATGACAAGTGTATATATTGACCAAACATGGCTGCCCAAATAATGCAGTCAGTGTAATAAAAGCAAATGAGGGTAGGTTAGGTTAGGTTAGGTTAAAAATAAAATATTCATCCACTTGTCATGGTCTGTAATTTCAACGAAGCAGTCTAGTTTACTCACACATAAGCTGCTAAAATTAAATAAAAATGACTTGTGTTAAGGATATCCGAGGAAGCTGATATCTTGAAGTGGCTATTTAGTTCAGAAAAAAAACAGCATAAACAAATTCAGTAAAAAAATTAACTTATATCTATATTATCTTCAGTGTAATTAAGGGGTTATGGTAAAAAATGAAATAAAACCTAACCTAACCTAATCATTTACTTGTGTTTTTATCTTTAAGAATTGCTGTCCGTTTGTTTACTTTGTTGTTGATGCTACGCCCACTCATCCACCCAACCAGTTGATGCTACGCCCACTCCTCCACCCAACCAGTTGATGCTACGCCCACTCCTCCGCCTAACCAGTTGATGCTACGCCCATTCATCCACCCAACCAGTTGATGCTACGCCCACTCCTCCGCCTAACCAGTTGATGCTACGCCCATTCATCCGCCTAACCAGTTGATGCTACGCCCACTCCTCCGCCTAACCAGTTGATGCTACGCCCATTCATCCGCCTAACCAGTTGATGCTACGCCCATTCATCCGCCTAACCAGTTGATGCTACGCCCACTCCTCCGCCTAACCAGTTGATGATCCGCTAACCCAGTTGATGCTACGCCCCACTCCTCCGCCAACCAGTTGATGCTACGCCCATTCATCCGCCTAACCAGTTGATGCTACGCCCATTCATCCACCTAACCAGTTGATGCTACGCCCACTCCTCCGCCTAACCAGTTGATGCTACGCCCATTCATCCGCCTAACCAGTTGATGCTACGCCCATTCCTCCGCCTAACCAGTTGATGCTATGCCCATTCATCCACCTAACCAGTTGATGCTACGCCCATTCATCCACCCAACCATTTGATGCTACGCCCACTCCTCCGCCTAACCAGTTGATGCTACGCCCATTCATCCACCCAACCAGTTGATGCTACGCCCATTCATCCACCCAAACAGTTGAAGCCAGCGTAAATTTGTTCGCCTCTGGACTTACGAGCAGAACGGGGGTATAAATTCTCTGAACCGACCTTATAGGGACTGGAACACTCGCATTTAGTATCGTGGCTATATGGTAGAGGGAACTGTTTACATTGTGAGGTACTAAGAGTAATTCATAGTTTCGATACTTTTTATTGCCATTGTTTACAGTATTTACACTCAAAAATAATTATGAAAATACAGATTATAATAGCTGTCAACATGAAGGATTTGTAGTCTTCGATATTTAAAAACAAGATCAAGGAAGAGAAACAGAAAAATGTGGTTTATAATATTGATCACTCTCGGTTGGTGGTGTTGGTTGGTGTGGGTGTGGCTAGTGTTGGTTGGTGTAGGTGTGGCTAGTGTTGGTTGGTGTGGGTGTGGTTGGTGTTGGTTGGTGTGGGTGTGGTTGGTGTTGGTTGGTGTGGGTGTGGCTGGTGTTGGTTGGTGTGGGTGTGGCTGGTGTTGGTTGGTGTAGGTGTGGCTAGTGTTGGTTGGTGTGGGTGTGGCTGGTGTTGGTTGGTGTGGGTGTGGTTGGTGTTGGTTGGTGTGGGTGTGGTTGGTGTTGGTGGTGTAGGTGTGGCTGGTATTGGTGGTGTATAATCAAGGTGTTTGCCCAAGTTTTATTGGAGAGTTCGGCGACTGTAGTGGATCCTATGCGATTCGCTCAATATTCCTCACAATACTGAATACATCTTTTCTGGTTGTATACATAATCACAATCCAATGTTTTGGTTCTAAATTCGTCAATAATATGTAATAAACCAGAACACCATTATGGAAGTTGACAAAGACCTTTACAACTTGGTATCGGGGATGTATGGTAAAGGTAATAATGTCAGGTACTAAGGTCAAGTACTAAGGTCAAGTACTAAGGTATAATTTATAACACAGATACTTTTTGGTAACATAGTTTATATATAACGAACATAATATTTACATAAAAATAATCAAGTGAAAAGTTTGAAAAACATGCAGAAAAAGAAGAAGTCCTATTTATCACTAAAGGTCATTGGTACTTCATAAATATTATTCATTAAAGAATAAAATCAAGTTATTTCGGCCATAACAGCTGCTGCTGACGTAGACAATATGACCTCCTGGCTGATGGACATAGTAGCCTCTCCTAACTGCCTCCATTTACTCGGACACATACAAAGGCTTGTAGTCGTACTTGGGTGGTTCGTAATCGTTGTATTTTATGTAAGTTTCAGGGTAATGAGCCTCACCCTCGTATTTCACCTCGGCCACGAAGCCTGAGTCACCGTCCACGTAGTAAGTGACGATCTGCTTACGAGTGTCGGGAAGAGAGACGAAGTACGACCCCTGGGTGTGGTCGCCGTCACGGATCTCCTCGTGGCCGTAATGATTGTAGTCATTCTTCACTAACCACTTGAACTTATACTTTGCCTGTAAACAAAAGTACAACGCCGTCACATTATGTTGTATTAAGCACTGATCAATAAATGTTAAATTATTTTTATGATTAAATTTCATAACCAGCACCAAAGTACATAAACTCATTTACATCTTCATGGTCACCATAGTATGAGGGCCGTTCATCTGCGGCAGCCACAGCCACCACAGCCACCACAGCCAGCAGGAGAAGTACCTGTAAACAAATGATTAATTAACTTATTCAACCTGCATAACTGTAATCATCAACATAATAAGATAAGGCAAATGTTTCTTTAGTTGGTTGGTATCCAAGATGGTCAAGATGGTTCATGATGTATACCCAATAAGCTTAGATTTTGAGGCTTTACAGTTTTATCTACCTTGGTGCTCATGGTGCAGTAATGACAGTAAATGATGTCATGTATCGAGGAGTTGGCTTTATATAAGCGTGCATACACACACACACACACACACAAAATGACACCGGACAAATTTCTCTATTAGTTCGTGTCTGTCTTGGAGGAGGTAAAGAAAAAGGTCTAGACTCTCGCCTTCATAAAGAATTCACTTTCGATTGACCGTGTTGGATTACTTTTTTTTTTTACATAACCTGAATGTGATGTCAAAAGGAATTTACAAATTGTTCTTTTGTTGACAGAGATCTATTGTGAGTGTTGGTTAAAGAGTATTTTCATAGCTAAGAATATCTGTCCTACGAGGCATATACTGGTCTAAACTGAGCTGTGTTAATCGGTGGAAGATGGCGACATTCTTCTTGTTTAATCCACCAGGACAGGATCTTAGCCTCACATAAACAGCTTAGATTACAAACAAAGAACCAGGTAAAGGTATGATTTAAACACCTATAATTTTAATGGATATAAAATACATCGTCTGATATACATAATTTGGTTTAAATAAGAAGATGAGAACAGAAGGAGAGAAGGTTTGGTTTAAAAATCTATACTAACTAATCTATTGATCACACCTGGGTAAAACCAGTTTAATATTAACTGGCAGACAGACTTCCGCAACTCCACACTTCCTGATAACCGGTTAGACTGTGTTACGAATCACCTAGGGGGTTACTGACACTCTGAGCCGACAACCAGTCTCATATAGACAGTCATTTCTTGTGCTCACATTATGACATTTTATATTCATACATTTCACTTTTCTGAGACCAGGTGGGATATTCCTACCCCATTACGTCACATTGGGATAATATGACACATGTTTAGATGGTTTGCGTCTTATAACATACGGAAGATATTGTAGTAAAACGTACACGGGAGATGTCAGGTCGTAATAAACCATACACGGAAGATATCAGGTCGTAATAAACCATACACGGAAGATATCAGGTCGTAATAAACCATACACGGAAGATATCAGGTCGTAATAAACCATACACGGAAGATGTCAGGTCGTAATAAACCATACACGGAAGATATCAGGTCGTAATAAACCATACACGGAAGATATCAGGTCGTAATAAACCATACACGGAAGATATCAGGTCGTAATAAACCATACACGGAAGATATCAGGTCGTAATAAACCATACACGGAAGATATCAGGTCGTAATAAAACATACACGGAAGATATCAGGTCGTAATAAACCATACACGGGAGATATCAGGTCGTAATAAAACATACACGGAAGATATCAGGTCGTAATAAACCATACACGGGAGATATCAGGTCGTAATAAAACATACACGGAAGACATCAGGTCGTAATAAACCATACACGGAAGATATCAGGTCGTAATAAACCATACACGGAAGATATCAGGTCGTAATAAACCATACACGGAAGATATCAGGTCGTAATAAACCATACACGGAAGATATCAGGTCGTAATAAACCATACACGGAAGATATCAGGATAGTTAGTGGTATGAAGACCTGGATGCTCTAAGATTTATAACATGACTTTATCCCCATAATTTAACAACAGACAACTTATTTAATTATTATAGTCCGTATAATTTCGACACCAGATGTAACCTCTATGCTTAATCCATCTGTTGATTATATTTACAATTATTAAGAAATTTTAAAGTATCATTAGTAGATATAATTAGCCTCGTGTTGCTATTGATAAGCTCGTATCCCAAGTTTTCAGCATTGTTGCATAAAGGGAAATATTTGAAGTGATTATGATGTGAACAACTCGTCAAAAACTTAGCTGTTAACTCCTCAGGCTATTGGTAGAGAGAGAGAGAGAGATCACTGACCACTATAAAAACAAGATTACACCAATTACGGACACAGTTCAATAAGTTTCGATAAGACAAAATCAGTGTTTCCGCCGGAAGATAGATGGTGGGGTCAGGTTGTGCTCGCTAACCCCACCAAGTCTTACCACACCGGCCTCAAGAGTCCCTGACCTACGGAGAGGAAACGTGGAAAGCCTTATATTCCTTTTGAAAGACGAAGTTCACGCTTGGTGTTTTGGTCGACCGTAGACGAACAGAATAACTTGCCCTTGAACATCACGCTCAGGCATATAAAGGCAGACGTCAGATGGCCCGTGGGCAGTACTACAACAACCTCCACAAGACCAGCAATGGACTCTAAGGTATAGTAATCGCTTCTCTACGAGCTTATGTGTCTTAGTGAATAATTTTTGTGCTTTTGTCATCACTTAGGCGTCGTTGCCCTCATCGTCTGCTTGATGTGTGTGTGTGTGTGTGTGTGTGTGTGTGTGTGTTTAAATTTTCCCTGTTATCGAATATTGTCACAACATCTACATTCAACTAACAGTCACAACTACCTACAGGTATTCATCTTCCTCGGTTTGGTAGCGATGGCTGGGGCTGACCGACGCCCCTCTTACTCCTACAGTGACCCTGAGGTGAGATAACACCGTCCAAGAGTTGATCAGGCGGATAAAATTATTGCATTTGGTGTTAGTGTTTCTGGGTATTATATAAATTCAGTATAAATTAACGTATATAAAACACAAAGTCGATACGTTTTGAAGCATTTGTTTACATATTAATCTATTAGAAATCTCTACGATAGTTATTTCATCCGCTGCTCTGCTCCTCCAGTCCTCAGAAGACTCACTTGAGGAGCCCACCAAGTATGGCTACAACTGGAACGTGAAGGATGGCTACTCAGGCAACGACTTCACTCATCAAGAGGACCGTGAGGACGACAACACCAAGGGGTCGTACTCGGTGCAGCTTCCCGATGGTCGTCTGCAGACTGTGACTTACTACGTGGACGGTGACTCAGGCTTCGTGGCCGAGGTCAAGTACGAGGGTGAGGCTCAGTACCCCGAGTCTGAGGAGTCTAAGGAGTACACACCCACCAAACCCCGGTACTTCACTCCCGATTCCGAGGAGTCTGTGGAAGTCCCAGTGTACACTCAACCCAGGAAGTCATACGGTCGCCACCAGTGACTCGAGTACGCGGGCTGCTTCCATCCTGGTATACCCGTCGAAGGTGTTGGTGTTGTGATGTGTTAATGTGCTTCACTAGCTGGGGTCCTAAAGCGCGTACCCAAAGTTACTGAACATTATACATAAGACATCAGTTACAACTACACAAGAGAGACAAGCCTCCCTCGTCACTACAGAGGCCCCCAGACCATCACTCCAGCAGCCATCAGGACGTAATGATTATCGTGAATGCATTATTTTACTGTTGCCAAAATCTGACGATACCTCTGCACGACGGTGGCCTCAGTACCTCCTCTTAACCTATGCTTCAAACCTTAAATAAGCCTTTTCTTCTCGTGTTAGATAGTTCCCGGCTGTAATACTTTACAGTCTGTAATTAATATTTATTAAATTAATTGTAGTTCGAATTATGTGACTTTCATATTACCTTCAGCTAAGATAAGAGTCTCAGCGTAATTTTGAAGTCATTAGTTTTGTATACCTTCACTTATGTTAACCCATTAAATGTGTTCTTACATCTCTAATTAGGAAGAGAATTTAGCGTAGGAACCTTTATGAGTTACAGTTAAGGGTGTTGAGCGAGGGTCGAATATGAAGGCCGCCTCAAAGGTTAAGGTCTAGTGAACACGACCACCTTCCTTCTTACAAAGACTTGAGTAATTCTTATAAATATTCCTGTGAACAATGTGTCCCTGGATGGTAGTGAATGTTTACCGCTTCATCATACAGTATTTAGAGCGTCCCAGAAAAATGTCCCTGCTTCCCTCCCTCCCTGCCTGCTCTCTGAGACACTGTGAGTTGGAGGGAGGGAGGGAGGGAGGGACATTTTCTGGAACACCTTATATAGATGGAGTGTGACGGCCAAGTGAATACAACGCTCATCTTCTGTTCTGAGCACCACTGGTACGACACCGGGGCCATCCTAGTCTATGCCAGCTGTGAATGAACCTCACTTTATAAAGATGGTGAAGTGAAGGCGGTAGAGCTCAGTGCCGGCCACGCTGCCTTCTTGTGCATCGAAGGCTTAGTACACAATGAATACGACGCCAATCACACAAAGGATACATCTGAAACATTCTGTAAATTTCTATGCTTTTATTTCCACCAATATTTAAACACAGACGATCAGTTATTCGTTAAGTCTAAATTAAGGTGTTTATAGTCACCACTAGTTAGAGAGGTGAAAGTGACGACGATACCTCCTACACGCTGCTGCATCGACGTAAACATTTCCCACCACAGGTCACATGTTCATAACCCTCACCGGGCAAAAAACCCCAATAAAACCGATCACATCTATGAGATAACTGATTCCCACCAAATGCCACCACAAACAAAACAATTTCTCCCACCCAAAAATTACTACATATACATAACTTCCCCCTCAGTAACTCCCACATTTACGGCGATAAATCAAACAAAACTCATAAATTTTCTACTTATTCCTCTCGTAAAAAAAATTATACCTGCATGGCGTAAGCACCACACTTAGTTGGCAATGAATATCTTTAACATTTTTCTTCCAAGCTGTGGTTTGTAGTGAGTGTACTGTGTTTATCTAATGTGTTACAGTTAGTATTATGGAGTTCTTCAAGGTTGAGTTCTGTAAAAATGACCATGACTCTCTGTCTCTGTCACTCTGTTTACTGGGTGGAAAAATGATGAAATGGTTCTATTTTACGTATTTTGTGGAGAATTTCCCCGTTTTCTGTTTAGGTGTTGTCAAAAATAGATCGATAAGATGATCTCTCCCTTAACATGAAGCCGGGAATCACACATAAAGACTCTCTTCTTAGCGACTCTAATCCAAAGAAGCAAAATTCCTATTCATCGACGGTGTGATATCTACAGTGCACTTTAAGGCTTCTTTCTGTCGAAATCTCAGTGCTTATTGCTACGGCTGCCATGTTCCCGGTAGAATTCGCCTGTAGTCGGTACTTCCCTTGAGATGACGAGCAGCCAGGTTTCTGTAGGTCATGAGGAAGGTTGTTTTTTTGGTTCTGACGTGATGTAGTAGGGTCATTTTCTTCGGGATGACTGGGAGTAGAAGGACACTGTTGCTCTTGATTGTCACAGAGTACGATAGCGTCTCTAAACGTGAGGTCTCCTGTAAGGCTGACGGACACCCACCCTTGCTCACAGTCGAGGCTCCCAGCGACCTCCACCCCTACCTCGACTCTGCCCTTCTGCGTCGCCTGCGTGAGGACAATGAAAACCGTATTAATAATTTTCCTGTGGGTTTATTATCCATTTACTGAACAAGGAAGTCTGCTGATTCTTATGCTGTTAAAAGTGGTATAAATTGTAGGGAAAATCCATAGAAGGAAAAAAAAAACATGAAGTACTTTGTGTTGTTAAGGAAATTATGTGTAAGTTATTATGGAAAAATATTTTAATTCTAAGGATAATTTTTTCTACTATTATATAATCACATGACATAAAGACTGACAGATGGCTGATACTACACCTGACTTTAGTGCTGACTCCATAACTGAACAAAAACTGACATAAAATACTACAGTAAACTAGATGTGATAAAGAGCTGACACTATACTTATTACCACACGTAACACCCCACTAGATGAAGAGCTGACGCCATACCTGACACCAGAGCTGACAAAAAGCTCTACCGTGAGCACCCGTCTCTTTGCTGATGGTGTGGCTGACGTAGGGATGCCCTGGATCTACATTCAGGACCTGTGGGATGAGATGGAGCGCTGAACCAACCCAGAGAAAGTACTGATCTCACTCATGTATTAATTGGTTACAACTTCAGGTAGTATCGTCGGCCAGTAAGCCAAGTTAAGCATGAGTTTACTTCAAGTATAGAAACTACCGTCATCACAACACCCAGACCCGTACTTAAGTGATAGTGGAGCTAGGGGTAGGTGGGGGAGGGGAGATGGGGATGGAGGTAGGAGGAGAGGGGAGGTAGGAGGTGATTATGGAGGTAGAGATAGGTGGGAGAGGAGGTAATGATGAAGCTGGAGGTAGGAGGCTAAGGCAACACTTTCATGGTGGCCTCAGCCCCCATGAATTACTATACCAGTAATTATATCTATGTTAACACGCCGCCCTTGGGAAGCATTAGAGGCCAACCTGATTACAGTGCGTGTAGAGAAGCTGAATATGCAGCTCAAATCCCATTGAAGACCCGAGACCGTCTGTGTTAAAATGGAAGGTTGACCCAGCAGTAGGTAACTCCAGTGTGGTACTCGGCAGTATTGAACCACACAACCTGTAGTGGCAGTGATAAGAACAGGTATAGTCATTCGCAGGTGATGACAAGATTTCAACTGTGATTCTAACCTGAAATATGGTGTAAATTATCTCATCCTTTGCTCATTAACACACCTGCCAGCCTCTCCCTCACCCATTAGGATAACACCTTACCTTTCCACCTTCCTGTTGGTGAGGTGAACGTGAACGAAATCGCCACAGTGGCTGTAGTTGGTGGGCGCCGCCAGGGAGAAACTGACCACCTGCAACTGTACACCTGCAGGAACTACCTGTTGGGGGGAGGGGGGGGGGGCACCTGTACTGGGGTCATTGGTTACTTTTGTGAGTTACGTTACAGTGTTACAGTCACATCCTAAAGCTTGGTTAAGTTAGGTTGAAATTAAGTGAATGTTCCTGTGATTTTAATTGGCAAGGTTGTTTCGTGAATGTTATGCATGTTGGGGGGAAGACTGTCACTCCTATGCAATAATAATAATACCATTACTGTGAGTTATATCATTATATTCATATCATCTTAATCTGAAATTTATGATTATATTTTTATCAGTGAAACCATTTTTTTTTCATACAGTCACCACCTACCTGTCGGAGAGTCAAGGTGCAGGCGATGTTGGGGGGGTAAGGTCGTGGGTAGTGAGGACTTCGCCACAGGATGGAGCTGGAGGCGTCCTCAACCTTCTGAACGGTACAAGGGCCTGACTTCTCTGTGGCGACGTATTGCTGATGGAGTTTTGTAGCTGCAGTGAATGGTGGAAGTGGTGAATGGTGGTGGTGAATGGTGGTGGTGTTGGTGGTGAATGGTGGTGGTGATAGTGGTGAATGATGGTGGTGAATGGTGACGGTGGGGATGGTGGTGAATGGTGAATGACGGTAGTAATAATCAAAGGTGTCTCAGGTAATATTAAAGGTTTCTCAGTAACCAACCTTTAGCCGAAGTATCACTGGAGGTCTTTATGGGACAGTGTGGTATGATTTTGAACTTGACCTTAGCCCAGAAGCCTCTAGAAAGGTCAGTTTTTGCGTGGAAGTAGAGTTGTACCTGGCGACCCATCCCAACCACTTGCCTGCCTCCCTCCAGCGCCCGACCACAGTACCTGCATTAACGACGTGTTTTGTGGATATCTATGTGTTATATATATATTTTTTTAGCTCTGGAGTAATTCTGTCTAAACACACAAACATATGTGCAAACACACTCATTCACACATTCATTCCCTCATTCATTCCCTCATTCATTCATTCTCACATTTTCATTCACATATTCACACATTCTCTCACAAACACGCACACACACACACACACACACACATACACACACATACTCACACAGGACCATCGTAACTGTTCTCCTGACGAATCTCGAGGAAGTCAGAACTACACTCCCCTTTATCTTCTTCCTGACGGTGTAGATGAAACTTGTAGAAGGTGAGGACGGGTACAGAACACCCAGGTCCTCTGATGACGAACACACACCACGTCCCAGCTGACAACACCCGGAACATAAGGTCGAATTACTGCCAACATTAACACCATATATTAAGGTTAAATGGAGGAAATAATAGTCGTAATGTGTCTTTCTGCTTGTTGTCTGGTAGCTGTCTGTCTGTCTGTCTATCTGTCTATCTGTCTGTCTGTCTGTTGTTTGTCTGTTGTCTGTTTGTTGTCTGGTGATGAGGTAATTACACTTAGCAACTTCTTAATGTGAGTAGATTGACAAGAGTTAATGTAGTCATAATGCAAATAAACTTGATTAAAAACAGGTTCTTGATAGCAGGTGTGTGTGTGTGTGTGTGGTAGAATATCTTACCTGTGACATTACGTATCGGTGTCTGTCGGTAGTTAGGGGTGGTAATGATGGTTGGCCGGGTAATTACTTTATTACTCTGCGCCATCTGCTGCTCTATCAGGTAGGTAAGCATGATTATAATACCTATAACACGTAATTATAATTCCTCTATTATTATACAGATTACACATACACACACACACACTCACCGTAGTATCCCGCAAGGGTGTGTTGACAATAGCGACCACGGGTGCCTGGGGGACAAACACACACACACCCACGACCCAGGTAACTCTCCCCTTGGCACGGGTTCTTCGTTAAGTGGCACCTCTTTACCCATCTGTCTGGTAACACCCACCACACTGTGATAACTAACATGGATCTTGATTTAGTTTTCATATTTGATATTTCAGAGAGAGAGAGAGAGAGAGAGAGAGAGAGAGAGAGAGAGACCATCGTACTCACCCACACAGCCATAAAGGATGTTTACAAGGTGCTTATCTCTATGGGAGAGCTGCAGGCGTTGGCCCATCGTACCTTGGTAGAACGGATCCTTACTGGCCAGCGTGACCCGTCCATTAGAACTGAAGGCCTGAGTAATACGAGAACACATTGAAAAAAAAAAAAAAGAGTTCCTTGTCCGAATGGGCTCCAACCTAACCTAACCTAACCAAACTTATACTAACCTAAACTATCACCAGTCAATAGAATCAATCCTTCAATATTACAAGGAAGAAAAAAAATGGCAATATTATTACACCTCACTCACCCTAGAGCTGTAATGCATGATGGAACTGAAGTCATAAGGGATGTTGAAGAGTGACATGTTGATGGGATGTATTGGGAGGAAGTTACGGTAGCATACGGTACCCTCACATCTGAAAGGGTCGATGTTTTGGAGGTTGATGTGGATGTAATGGTCTCTGTCGTAGCGGGAGTGTTCGTGGAAGAGTCCCAAGGCGTGACCGATCTCGTGGACCACAATACCCAGCTGATGGAGAGGAGGAGAGAAGGGAGAAGATGGAGAGGAGGAGAGAAGGGAGAAGATGGAGAGGAGGAGAGAAGGGAGAAGATGGAGAGAGGGAGATGAAGACGAGAGAAGACAGAAGATGAAAAAGAGGATGGGAAAGAAGAGAGAGAGAAGAAGAAGAATATGAAGAGAAAAAAAAGACAGAGAACAAGTTGAAGCACAAAAAAACCCCAGTAAATAACACAGTGAATAACATCAATAACACAGTGAATAACATCAATAACACAGTGAATAACATCAATAACACAGTGAATAACATCAATAACACAGTGAATAACATCAATAACACAGTCAATAACACATTAACACAGTCAATAACACAGTAAATACCCTCGGCAGCTAACACACCTTACACCACAGCATCCATTCTTGAGTAACTTACTGAGGTACACTTGACTCCGATGCCGACATGTTGACCATAAGGGCTGGTCTGCCTCCCTACTCGCGACGTACACATACTGGTATCACGGAATCGGATGTGAGGGCCATTGTAGTAGTAGTGCCTGGCGAACTGTAGACACGTGTGTTCCTCCCAGTGAGCGATGCCTCTTTCCACAGCATCCTTGTACGCGTAAGCTGAACAGGACAGCGATATAAAAGTACAATTTGCTGATTTAGGAATTGTTGTTTTTTTTATTATAAACCTCGTGAGTTGTGTACATTACCAGGCACGGTTAAGGGTGGAGGAACGAGAGAGGGGTGGGTGAGGGAGGGTGAGGGAGGGTGAGGGAGTGTTTGGTGGGTTGAGGGAGTGTTTGGTGGGTGTGGGTGAGGGAACGTGTTTGGTGGGTGAGGGAACGTGTTTGGTGGGTGGGGGTGGGTTTGGGGGAGAGAGTGAGTGGGAGAATGGTACAAGCACTGACTTATTTAATAATATTAGTCAACTCAGGTTAAATACCATATAGAGTTCTTAAATAACCTGAAGTTTAGGCACCCCAGATCATTTCACCTGTGATTCAAGACACTGACGCAAATTTAATCTAACTTAACCTAACCAAACCTAACTTAACCTAACCAAACCTAACTTAACCGAACCAAACCTAACTGAACCAGGTAGCATTCTGGTAATTAATCCTCAGGTGATAAAATCTAGGGTGCCTAATCATCAGGTGACACGATAAAGACCTTACGTTCATCATAGGTGTAATGAATGAGTGGCCAGCCATCAGGTCCTTCTGGCCACAGTAGCTCAGGGAGTGTGGTCCTATAGAAGGAGACAGTAATGGTCAAATGGGCCACACGTTATAGGCTGGGCCAATTAAGAGACCCTCATTCTAAGAGTCCCGAGTCCTAACTTATTCTGGTCCCAATAAACCCTAGCTTTAATTGACCCATGACCTGTGAGACCCCCGGGTGTAAGGGGGGTCATTTTCATGGGTCACGTTCTAATGGGTCTCACATTAGCCCAATTTGATGGGTCCCAGTAGTAATGGGTCACACTCACAACCATTCCCCAATCCTAATACTTAGAATAGGGTGGTTTAGGTTTATGGGTTAGGGCCAATTAAATGTGGGAATTGTGACCATTGCTTGATCTGATATAGTAACTGTCTGTTTGTCTGTCTCTCTAATTAACTATCTATCTACTTTATGCATCTAATTATCTATCCATCTGTTTGTATACTTCTGTGTGTATTTAATTATCTCTCTATTTACTTCACTATTAATCAAGTTATCTGTCTTTCAATTTAACTATTTATTGTCGATTAATTAATCTTTTCTCTGTTTATTCATTATTTTATCTAATTCTCTATGTCGATCTATTTATTAAGTAACCATCAATCTGTCTTGTTATTTTTTACCCTTTTATCTCTTTCTATAGATTTAAGACGAATATTCAAACATTTCTGGCTCAATGTTCAAGTATTATAAAATTAATCCCATATTTACGTTAGCAGTTACAATAAATTTCAATCTATTTACGTTTTAAGTTACAATGATTTCCATTCTTATATTTACGTTAGCAGTTACAATAAATTTCAATCTATTTACGTTTTAAGTTACAATGATTTCCATTCTTATATTTACGTTAGCAGTTACAATAAATTTCAATAATGTCAAATGATATTCACATAAACACTAGACCAACATCACCTTCTATGAGTCAAATGAGAAAGATTTGTTAATCGTCTCTTTAAAAAATCGATTCCGTGAGTTCAGAGGTAAAATAAAAGAATAAATTTCAATTACTTGGTCTGAAATGACTTTATTATTGAACTGGTTTTTAGTGAAAGTTGGTATATAGGTTAGGTTAGGTTCTGTGATTATTGTTTCAACCTGTGGCATTATGGAGACTTTACGTGGTATTCAGTTACAATGTTGATCTAGATTGTTTTCATGTTCTGCCTAACGTAGGAAGCATCATAACAAGGCGTGTGTGTGTGTGTTATAAATGACCCTTATATGGTATTAACAATAGAGAATACTTCCTGTAAAACATCAAAGTACGAACCACATATCACAGCACAACACAGCATCCCACAACATCCCACAACATCCCACAGCATACCACAAAATCCCACAAAATCCAACAGCATCTCACAACATCCCACAGCATACCACAAAATCCCACAAATTCAAACAGCATCTCACAACATCCCACAGCATCCCACAGCACCTACGGGTTAATAGCAGAGAGCATTTGATCTTCGTCGGGTAAGATGTACTTCAACAAGGTCTCGTCAATCTCTATATCCCCATCGTACAACTGACCACTGATATTCTTGCCAGCAATTATCTCACGTTCTTGAAGCTCGTTGTCTCTCGATATCTCTCCTTGGCTTTTGTTTTCTTTTTCTCTCTGGTTCTTGATTTTATCGGTGGTTCTCTTGTTCTTTCCTTCGTCTCTCTTGTTGTTATGTTCTCCTACGCTTCTCTCTTCTCCCTCGTCTTTTTTATTTCCTCCAGTGACCTTTCTGTCTTGTCTCTTGTCTCTCCTCCTTTCTCCCTCGCTCGTAAGTTCTCTCTCATTTCTCTCGTCAACCCCCTCGTAGCTCTTAATGTCTCCTTTGGGGTTCTCTCTCTTCTCAACTCTATCATCAGTCTCTGCACCCTTTCTATCAGGATTCAGTAAAATAAAGTGATAATCCATGATGTCTACGTCACTGAAGTTGTCATAATACTCGGAGTAGTCGATCGGTGGCTCTTCGTCAGTAGTATTAGGAGGGAGGAACTTGGCGAGGACATCCTGAAGGGGGAATAAAAGAGAAAAAATTGTCTATCGATTATATGGCTGTGTTGTGATTCATATTATGTCACTTTTAACTCATTTTTGTGCTTTTTTTTTAATTAGATGTTTAAAGTACTGTAAGTTTTGACAGACAGACAGACAGACACTGACTCACTGTGGTGGGGTGTGGTAATATGGGCCAGGGTGTCACCATCACCACCAGCATCGAGGCAAAACATACGGCCGTCAACCTACTCTTCACCATCATCTCGCCTCGGCCGCGCATCACTGCACTCTGAAGGTCACAACAGCATCCGTACGAGTTATTTAGCACTGCATCGGGTACTTAGAATATAAAGTAACTTATAATAGTGAGAAATGACTGTAAGTAACTGGAATGTAACAACAGGTGACTAAAAGTGACTGGGATACAACAATTGACTGTAGGTAACTGAGGAGGAGCAAGGCGAGTGTAAGTGAAAGGTGAACACGATCAGCTGCCAACAAGGAAATAGAGACAGTGATGCTCAGAGATGATATAATAAGAACCTCACTTTATAAGGCGATAATTTGTACTGTGCATTGTAGCTTGTGGGTGACTGTGGGTGATTGTGGGTGACTGTGGGGGACTGTGGGTGATTGTGGGTGACTGCGGGTGATTGTGGGTGATTGTAGGTGACTGTGGGGGACTGTGGGGGACTGTGGGTGACTGTGGGTGATTGTTACCTCTGATTTTCGGGTGACTATTAATACTAACTTGATGCTAATGTGATAATGGTTCGGTGTTGGATATATAATGTGGATTGTAACTTAGTGCAAATTCCATGGATACTCTAGTCATGGCTCAGCTCAGTGGTCTAACTCTGATGTAATGTGTACATAATAATGCAAGGTAACTTTCCATATAGGGAGCGATGGTCGACTTGATACAACACTCACATCCTGTCCTAAAGGTCACTGGTTTCGCTTTAGACATCCCCAGTTAATTTATCTCTGAATCTGTATCAGACTTTACAGGTGAAATAAAAGCAATAGAGAAGTGTCCTGTCTCACTGTGTATTGAAGGATTACTGTTTACCACGCAGAATCCATATGTCTTAAACTGGCTGTCGAGTCTATGGTATGGAGGTACTAGTGGCGACAAGCTTAATATTTAGCTCTCAGTACACAAGAAAATAATACACTTACAGCTATATAAAGTGAAATAATGCTATATAATGCTACGAAAAAAACACGATCACCTTTTGATGCGCCAAGTGCACCACCGTGTAGAACAACAGGGTACGGACGTGTGGTTGTACGGTTACCAGGTACTGCTTGTGATGGTGAAGTGACTGTACTGAGGTGATGCTTGGGACTGGTGGAGATCGCTGGGCCGCTTCTTTCACCCACTCACTCACACAGTCAACAGTCACAACAACACGTCAGAGAAGGCGCGACAGAAAGTGTTAAAAAAGGCGAACTGTTTTCGTAAGTTTGTTATCAAATAGTGTGTTTTTCCCGCCGGGGGTGACGAGTGTAGTGCCGGACTGGTGATACCCTCCCTCCCCCCCTGCCCCTCTCTCCCTACTGCCCCATCTCTCCCTCCTCCCTCTTTCTCTCTTGCTGTCTGTCTCTCAATTAATCTTATTATCCTTATGAGAAATAGTGAAAATTTTATTGAGTTTAAGGGAAATATCTACTCTCCCTCTCCCTCTCTCTCTCCCCCTCTCTCTCTCCCTCTCCCTCTCCTTCTCCCTCTCTCTCTCCCTCTCCGTCCTTCTCGTGTCAGCTGTGAGTTACCACATGATCTACTAAACTAGCGGCTGTAGTAACTCGGAGGTAAAATATTGACACTTTTCCAAATAATGCTTAGGAAACAATGTAAAGTTTTTATTTTTGTAAACACTGTTACAGAAACATGGACTACTGTTTAATTTTCCTTAATTAGTGTTGTAGGAGCGTCACGAAGTTGTTATTTTTGTCAACATTGCTTTGGATACAGATTGGTGAAGGAGAACTCATGGCTGGGGCAGAGGTTGAGACCATTTGTAATTTTAGCATTTATGGACGATATGAAGATTACCCCCCCCCCTTCCTAGATAGCGTCCGGGGTGGTTAAACTTCACATCAGCATATGAGGGATGGGTATTAATAATTTATCCTACAAACTAACTCCGAGATAACTGAAAAATATCACCTGGGGGTAAAACTAAACACTATCTTCAACTAACAAACAATAACATTTCGATAGCAGCACAAGCGATATCAGGACGACAAAACGAGCAAAATATTATGTCTTCATCCATTAACTACGACAGATAAACGACGCCGGTGATCCACAAACGGTTCAAGACATTAAAATGCCACAACTTCTTCAGGAGACGTTTTTGAGGTCATCCACTTCCTCCCGTTATAACATCTCGCCGGATGGGTCAAGTTAAAGGAGGTCATACAACAACTCGGTTTATTCTGAGGCTAAATTTTACGACAAAGCATTGAGTCATGAGATTGAGAGCATTGGGTACAAGAAGAGTGTAGTGAAGATAGTGGTGAAGGAGAGTGGCGTTGGTCAGAGGGACAAAGAGGGTGGGTGAGGGAGGCAGGTGAGAGGATTTTGGAGAGTGTTTGAGGGTGGAAGAAGGAGAGGGTGGGAGAGTGTTTGAGGATGGGAAGGTAGGTGAAGGAAGGAGGGTGGGTGGGTGTTTGAGGGTGGGAGGATTTTGAAGGGTGTTTAAGGGTGGGAGGATGAGAGAAGGAAGTGGTGAAAGGGCGTTGAAGGGTTGGAGTGTACGGTACAATGATCCAGAAGGACAGACTTGCTTAGTGTAATTAATATGAAATCTCTTTACCTGTACTTGCGTCTCTACCTGTACTTGCGTCTCTGCCTTTACTTGCGTCTCTACCTGTACTTGCGTCTCTACCTACACCTGTGCTACTATTTCTGAACAAATAAAATCATTAATAGTATCCAAGGTTGACTCAGGTGCGTCAAGGTGTATTATTAAAAAACGCTTCTTACTTAATCTGACGCAAGAGAAAAGTACCCAGGCAGTGTCACAATCTTGCATCATTACTTGCTACTGTCTGGTCACTCCCTAGTAATGTCCTTCTACCTGGTCAAGGCCGTACGTGCTGGGGTGTCTAATCCTCAGGTGATCAATGGGAATAATTAATCTATATGTTTTTAATGATAGATATGGATCATAGTGTAAATATATCAAATGGTGTTCAGTATAACGATTATGTGTGGATTAGACACCCTAGTTTATTTCACCTGATGATTAAACACCCTAATGTTACTTGGGGTTAGGTTAGGTTAATTTAGCTTTTTTATTACTATTATTATTTTTTTTTTACGGGCACAGGTCACTGACCCACATCAGGGCTTGGGGGCGAAAATGTAAGAATAATAATATTACAGTAATTCATAATAAATAAAATTAATAATAAAATGTAAAATAAAATAATAATGATAACAATAATAATAATAACAAAACTGTAAAAATAATAATAATAACAACACTGTAATTATAATAATAATAATAAAAAATAAAAATAAAACAAATAAAAATTCGATAGTGAGAAACGATATATGTATGTTGTGTTATCAAGTAAGAGAAACAATTGAGACCTGCAATTGTGTGTAAATGAGGCAGAAAGTCAGATCAGCAACCTGGAACTTAGTCACAATATTCGTGATGCCATATGGCAGCAGGGTCTACCATTAGACAACACATTATGCTTCCAATATCTTCCCAGGCGGTAGTACCTCCCTGTTTGATAGCTGCCTACAAAGGTTAGGTTGTTATGTTATTTGGTAAAGTTTTGTTATGTTAGGCAAGGGTGCTTAGTCAGATGAAATAAGCTAGGGTGGGTAATCTTCAGGTGATCCACTAGACGAATAAATTAATAGACAGGTAAATATAACAGCACACTACAACATACGAAGAATGACAAAAATGATTCCGGGACTTCGAAACCTTCCATATCAGGATAGGTTAAAGAAACTTAACTTGCATTCCCTAGAAAGACGAAGAGTGCGGGGAGATATGATAGAAGTGTTTAAGTGGGTGAAAGGAATCAATAAAGGGGATATAGATAAAGTTCTTATAATATCCGAGCAGGATAGGACTCGGAGCAACGGATTCAAGTTGGATAAGATTAGGTTTAGGAGGGAGATAGGAAGAAACTGGTTCACAAATAGGGTGGTGGACGAGTGCAACAAGCTTAGCAACCTTGTAGTAAGTGCGGGAACTCTGGAAAGTTTCAAAAGGAGGCTAGATAGATTCATTGATGATAGAGAGTGGTAGTAACTCTCGACAGGAGCTGCCATGCACAGGACAACCGGCCTATTGCAGACTCCTTATTTTCTTATGTTCTTATGTTGTAAATATACTTTAAATATCAACTCAACAGATTATATAAGAAAAGAACTTTTCTCTGAAGATTCGATTAATTAAAGATCTGCAGGTAAGCCCTCATTCTCGACGTCTGTGTTAAAGGGTAGGAGACCAGTTCACCTGATTGTCGCCCACCGCAGACCAGTCAGAGGCTAATCACGTCACTTTCTTGTAGGCAGTTACCAAAAAGTTGAAAGAGCAGAAGGCGCGACTGGTTGGTGTGTGTGTGTGTGTGTGATTAGGTTAAGTTACGTTAAGTGGGGTAAGGTAAAGTTAGATTAGGTTATGTTTGGTTTGGTTAGGTTAAGTTAGGTTAGGCGGGGTTATGCTAAGATGGCTCAGGTTAAAACTAGTTTACGTAACGTTAAGTGAGGTAAGAGTTGGTCCCACAATCATCTGAGCAAGAAGAACTATTACACAAGAGAACACTCGGGGTCATCTGAAGGTCAGCGACGGTCACCACACGTGGAGTCGTCCGGCTGAGTCACCACACGAGGGGTCGTCCAACTGAGTCAACACACCAGGGGCCGTGCGACTGAGTCACCACACTTGTAGGTGGTAGGCAGCTACCAAACAGGGAGGTACTACTGCCTGGGAAGATATTGGAAGCATAATGTGTTGTCTAATGGTAGACCCTGCTGCCATGAATCCAGGTAAAAAAAGTCACAGGTAAAAAAGTCACAGAAAAAAAGTCACAGGAAAAAAAGTCACAGGAAAAAAAAAGAAAAGTTAACTATCGAATTCTCACATTTTTTAAGGTTAATATGTCAATCAGTTTCAGTAAAGGAATATGCAGAACTGATGGTAAATTAATGAGTTTCGCTTAAAAATTATAAAATAGAACAAAAACATTAGATTCTTTGTATAATCGGTCAACATCAACCTGGAAGGATTAAGGTAAGTCAGCTGAGGTCACTGTGACCACAGGTTGTCTCATCCGGTAAAAATATTCGTCTTAATCATCAGCATTAAAACACTGAATATACATGTAATGTCATGATATACTGTAAGCTGTTTTCAATCTGTACATGTCATGTACTGTCAATAAATGACTGACTTAAATATTTTTGTTTGATTACCTTACTGTGCTTAAGATATTGAACAAAACGTGATTTGTTTTCACATACATGTAATGCCATCATATATAAATAGTGTTGTCAGTGTATTGCCAGTTAATAACTGAATTAAAATATTTTCAGTTTTATTACTTTAATTGTTTATGGTACTTAAATAAACTGACTGACTTGAATATTTTTTTTGATTTCCTGACTTTCTTTCTTAACCAAAATTGTGACTTTTTTGTGACTTTTTTTCTTGTGCCTTTATTACCGGCCATAATAAATTAATTGACTTTTTTTCCTGTGACTTTTTTTCCTAGCCAAAATTGTGACTCTTTTTCTGTGACTTTTTTTCCTGTGACTTTATTACCGGCCACCGCTGCCATATATGACCAAGTCCCAGGTTGCTGATCTGATTTTCTGCCTCATTTACACACAAATGCAGGTCTCAATTGTTTCTCCTACTATTGTCAACACAACATACATATATTGTTTCTCACTGTTGATATTTTTATTTATTTATTTATTTATGGCTCTTTATTGTTACAGGGGGTATTATTATTATTTATAATTTTTATAAATTTTTATTATTATTATTATTATTATTATTATTATTATTATTATTATCATCATCATAATAATTATTATAATTTTATTATATTCTCTCCCCCCCAGGCCTTGATGTGGGTCATTAAAATGACTCTGCCCGGGTGGGCTAATGCCCGTAAAAAAAAAAAAAAAAAAGTCTTAAGGCTGACTCACCACACTAGGAGTCGTCCAACTGAGTCAACACAGTAGGGGTCGTCCAACTGAGTCACCACACTAGGAGTCGTAAGGCTGAGTCACCACATCTGGAGTCGTCCGAGTCACCACACTTAAGGTCGTCCAACTGAGTCACCACACTAGGGGTCGTCCAACTGAGTCACCACACTAGAGGTCGTCCAACTGAGTCACCACACTAGGGGGTCGTCCAACTGAGTCACCACACTAGAGG